TGTCTAACATAATAGCAGTTCCTTATGGCAATATGGCAACACGTGTATCACGTACTCAACACATTATGGTTTTTTGTCTGCACATACTGTTACAACATAAGTCATAAAAAGCAGGACCACTGATTTCCTTGAAAGGAAAACATTAGTTCCACAACCCACTAATGTTAAGGTCCACAAAGACGATTCAATTCTTCAGGTTTGTGTTCTCAGATTTTCAGCCATTTATGCATTTTTATAAATTGTCTAAGAAGGATAAAAATGTTTTTAGAGTACAACGTGTATTGAAATAAAAACTTCCTTCTAAAGGCAGTGCATAACACAGTTGGATACACCTAAATGAAACAGCAAACAAAAAGGGATTCCTTCTATCCAATACCTATTTGTTTGGGTTATGCATAATTGCAACAATATCTATTATTTATCTGCTGCTTTTGTAACATACATAGTTAACAAACAAGATATTTACAACTAAAGGAAAAATGTTTATCTAAGTTGTTTATTTTGACTCCAACAAGAGCAGACAACAGACTTTCTGGCTTAATTTTTATTTCTATTTTGTAACCATAAAATAAAGAGAGAAATGTCTTAATCTGAGCACATCTTTTGCAAAGACACAAAATAAGAAAATGCAAAAGAACATTGTATTCTGAATTCTAACCGATTTATTACCACAAACAGTCATAATTATGGAAGCAAGCTTATATAGATTTACCATAGCAGAAGACCACATTAAGCACCATAATCTCCATAATTATCTCACGCAAGGTGATACAGAACCGCATCCTACACACAGTCCAATGAGAGAAACAGCCGCAAACAAAGAATGTAGGCAGCAATCTCGGACTCTGAGTGGCCAAGCTATCCATTAGATTTTGTATTTGTTTCCTGTAGACTCACAAAAAAAAAATAGGAAAGGCTTTCATGAATTGCGTAGCTTCTTGGATGCTTACAGAATGCTGCTTCTAAGCGTAAGGGACTGCCTGAAAGAAATCACGCATTTTCCAATAATCTACACTCAAAAGTCAAGATAAGACAGCAATATTTGATGCAACGGAAAAGACACAAAGGTGCATAGTAGAGGGGCAAAAATTTGGGGATGATATGGTAAAATGACAACCAAGAGAAGATTACAACAGCATCTAGAATATAAAAGAGGGGTTAAAAAAAAAAAAAAAAAGTGTTTCTCAAGGCTGAAGAACAGAGCAATTCAGAAACTGACACACAAGATGTATACTTAGATAAGGGATTTGGCTGCATACTGGTTTTAATGATTTAAAAAGAACATTGATTTACCCTGAGGACGGGACTTTTACCCCTATAGCACTGTCACAGACATGAAAAGAGCACTAGCATGGACATCAAAGATTGGTTAGTAAATCAACTTTTTTTTTAATATATACTTTTGAATTCTTTCCATCATGATATATATGCAAGACCATCAATTTACTCTCACACACGTCTGCACAGAAAGCATAGTCAAAAGCGCTGGCAATTACTCTATGAGCAGGAAAATTATGGAAGTTTAATAATTTTTATTTTTTTTAACAAACTTGCATCCTACCTTTCTTTACTTCACCACATTATCATGTCTCCTCTGACTTTCCAGGGACTTCCCTACCTTATATCATGCATACCTATCTTGCATGTCTTTCTATCTGCCCAGCAACAGCTTCAGTTTCCCCTTCGTTCACTAATATCCCTCTCCACAGTACCCACAAATCGCTCCCACACCCATATGGCACTTCACCAAAACCCTCATACTCCCTTAATATATCAGCTCACTGCCACCACGGTATTCCTGATTGCCCCTTGATTCCAACCTATCTTTCTTCAATTGGTCTGCTCAGCAGCCAAAAACCAGCACCAGTCACGTCTGGCTTGTTACTGGTGTGCCAACTGCCTGATGATGCATAATACGTCAAGTGCCTTGCCAGCCACCGGCCCTTGCTCGCCAGGCGGGTGGAGGAGATGAATAAAGCAGAGCATCAAATAGTATATGGCAAGGTGCAATTATCACATAGTGCAACAGGAGAAATGAGGGGGGGGGGAACACCCACAACAAAAAAACGTACCACGAAAACAAAATCCATTACTTTTAGGTAAGTCTAAAACTTGCTATTTTATGGCCTACAAGAGCTTTAAGATAACACAAACCACAATATCACCAATAGCAGTAGTTTTGCATTAAAAAGGCCATGAAGAAGAGTTATTACTTTGTGTAAAGCTAAATAAATCCTGTTATTTCAAACTCACATAGCATCAGGATACAACTCAGTAACACATGTGCAGCTTAACGTGTATGTAAACCCAAGCACACACAAATACAATTTGCAAGACCTAGCATAGGAACTTATTTTCTGGAACAAAGATTTAAATATCTGATCTCTCTCTTTGGAGGCAGAGAACTAAAGTGTACACAAAAGCCACTGTTAGACGCCCAGGATATGTTAATCCCTTTCAACATAAGCAGAGAGGTGCATAAAGATGTGAAATACAAGAAAAACACCTTAAGCATGAAACAACATTGAATTGTTCCACAAACACGTAGCCATGAACTGATCTGCTGATAATAGATAAAAGACACACAGAGAATCAAGACACTACATCTAGAAGTCACCTGAAATAAAGAACAAATTTTGAGAGCTTTAATTAGAATACTCCATTTTCTTAAATATTTTTAATTTTTTACAAAAAGTTATAAACTAATAAATTCTTTCACAGTTTCATGCAGCGTTTATCTAAAAGACATTGATTTTATGCACTTTCTTGAAAAAAAAATGACATTCACCATGGGATTGTTTAAACCTGCATGTTTTCTTCCTTCAATTTACATCTCAAAGCTATATATTAATGTGATGTACATACATCTCACCCAGTTATACTTCATACTATTTATTTTTATGTCTTTTCCTTAAAAATAGTTTTCCTAGTTGGACAATAGATAAGCTACTTAGAGAAATTATGTTCTCTGCACGTCAGAAGTAGAATGGAAATCTTAGAATTTGACCAACATGGAACTTCAGTAATTCACGTTTTGTAGCAGCCAGTTCCCATTTCCATTATTCCTGACTGACCGATAGACTGACAGATGTCTTACTTTAGAGATCCCAAACAGACTATTGGTATCTATTTCAGCCACATCTGTTCCTAAATAGCCTTGGCAGCAGGCCACTATGCACTCGGAATTAATTTTAAGTCCTTTATTGCTAACTCTTTCACTGTTGCAATACATCAGTGATTTTCTTCCTTACTGCTGCACTTATATGGAATATTTATAAGTCTATATTTTATATTAATATCAACAAGAACTATAGTATACTACATATAAGAATAGTGTAGTTAACACATTGATTGCTTTTATCTCATTATGAAAATATATATTCAATAATACATTAACCTCTGAATTGCTCTGGAGATCTTACTTTCTTATTGGCCAATTAATTTAGGATATTACACTAAATTACTTATATTGAAAAAGCAAGTTTTATTCAAATTATTATTATCTAAAAACTCAGTCCAGCCTACATGCTGTCAGTCTAAGAGAACAACTTCGTATACCTTTCAGTCAAGTACACTACACACACAAGCAACTAAACTTATAAAAAGTTTTCCATAATGATCAAAAGCCTCTGAACTTCACATACCAGTAAAACACTGAGCGAGTGCCAGTCTTGCTCCATTTCCTATTTGAGAGAAATCTGCTGAAAAACTGCAATTATTGTAAATCAGGAAATTCTGTGGCAATCTCTAAAAAGATGCTGAAGGCTTTAATGAAATATCAGGACTAAAGTTCTTGGTCAACAGCAAAAAACAAGCCCTATTGGAAGAAGAACAAAAAGAAGACTGAATTGACACTATTTGTACTGAAACTGTTCTAAACCACAAATGATTCTCACATCCACTGCTGCTGATCTACATTCCATTAGCTTTTAAACTTTAGCCACACCAAAAAAGAAAAATAATTCCACTCTGAGCATTTGTTCTAAAATGTAAATCATTATTTTGTTTCCATCATTCAGTCACTCTTATTATCTTCTGGGAACTTCTAAAAATCACATAGAATATTCAAATCTGTACTTAAGACAGCTTTCTCTCCTATGGTTTTGAATAGCATCCAAAACAAGAAGCTCTACAGTTTAGGGCTGGACTATTAATATACAGAGAGAAGTCTTGTTTTTTCTTCATTTCAGTGATTATATTTACAGCATGGGAGAGCCAGATAGAAAGAAGCCTGAGAAAAAACTAGTAGCTACTGACTGTGAGCTCTGCTTCTCATTGCAATGCCCACGGCAATGTTAAAAGCAAGCAACCAGCTATGGGTCAGAGGGTATCTGGCTCTGGTGAGAAGAAAAGGCTCAGCCAAGCTGCACACCCGGGCTGTAATCGCAGCGTTTCGGAGGGGGCAGCCGAGCCATCCCTCACACTGCCCCCGTTCCCAATGGACACGTTCGCTCCCTGAGGCCCCATATTCAGTTGCCTGCCCAGGCCTTACTTCTGCCCAAAGCTTTGTTATAATAGAGAATATATAAAATTCATAATGGGTCATGCCTATTTGAGAGAGGAGAGGAGGCTGCGGGGAGCTTACTACGAGGTCTGGAGAGTGAACAACAAAGGGAGCCATCAAAAATCCTCAGTGGGCACTGGTAGCCAAAATGCTTTAGGAGACAGAAACTGCAGAAACCAAAGGGAGAGTAAAGAAGAAAATCTGCCTGATAATCACACTGCCAAAAGCTTCACAGAAACAGTGCGATGGGACAGAACTACGCATATATAAGTGTGACATGATCAAGCTCAGGCACAGCAGATGTCACCTGCTTGAGAATTTTAAGTTCTATTTAGGAGAAGCTGCAGAAGTTAAGGCTGCACAAGCTACCACATGTGAGAACATATGATGGGAACCACAGAACTGCAGATGACAAATGACAACTTGAGCAAGATAGGAATACTTTGGGGGAACTATCGGGGATGGGAGGTTAGAGAACAGGGGAGGAAGCAATTACCTGACAGTTCTCTGACTTGACAGGCTGGAGCGATTGCCAGAGAGCAAAGGTCTTTTCCCCAAATAGGAACTGTAGAGGTAAAACCATCCTGACCTACTGTATCTGAGACGGAAGAGAAAACAGACAAGACTTTCATTGGATTCATCCCTGTGAGGGCAACAAGCCCTACACGGTGAAACTTTCGGCTCCTGCTCAGCTCATCTGCAGTCACAGGCAGCACACGTAGAGCCACGCTGGCCCCAAAGAAGACATCACAAGTATTCTTCTGAACACTGCTCAGGTAGGCCATTGCATTCCCATCACGACTTGGCCAGAAGTATAGGGGTCTCAGAAACAACAAAAGAGTTTTAAGATTATTTCATTCTCAAAGAGGGCCTGGAACAGCCACAGACGACATAGGGGTGGCATCTATACCAACAGAGGAACTGAAAAACCCTTTATCTTCAATGTCAGTACTTGACATTTAAGAATTTGGAAATCTCGTAGTAAAAACTCATAGCCTACCACAGACTTTAGGAAAAACCCAGCATTTCAAAGACATCACTGCCTTTTCCACTGATGTTAGTAAAGAAGGATATTAAGAGCTTCTCAGAATCCAAAATATTCAGCAGCTTAATGCTACATAGTATAAAACCAAATTGCCAGAGACAAAGAAGTATCACCATGTATTTAGTACACACACAGTAAAAGCCCAAATCCTGATATAATTGACACCAACTTGTCAGTGCTGCTTTCCATAAGACTCCTGAAGTTCTGCCATCTGCAACACGCCTGACTTTAAGCACTACATGCTTTACTACCTTGTAGAAACTAAGACAGAAAAGCTCCCAATCTTTGTAGGAACAATCTAAGGATGAAAAGATCTTATATGATCTTTGGATCATATACACAGAGACCTGTAGCTAATCCCAAGAGGGAAGGAAGAGAAACTACGGCGTTGTGTAACAGCATTACTAAAGCACCCAGGCTGGCTCCACAAGAGCCAGGCACATCAGTGCAGCTGTCATCAGAACTCAACCATCCTGCTG